AAACACAGCATTCTAGAGATTAAAAAGTACCTAAGTATAAATCCATTATATAAAATCTTGAGACTTAAGACTTTGTTCTGGAGGGTAACAGAAGTCAATGAAAAATTTTAACCAGGGAAATAAGAGAAAAGTCATGTATCAGAAAGAACTCTTTGCAGCAGAGTAGAGAATTGATGGCTGGGACCTAGGAAAGAGGCTAGTGTTAAAATCAAGGCCATAAGTGATAAGGAAGCAAACTAAGTAAGTGCCAGAGAGCAGGCAGCAGTGTCAAATATTGAAGAGAGAAACAGTAAAAAAATACGAGAGAAGAGTATATTTTGTGTAATATTTTGAGAACGGTAGAGTGATGGGGTTTGGAGCTTTATTGCTATGCTTCCAATTTCAGACTCAGGTTCTGACATACAGAAGAGATTGAATTTTTTTTGAATAATTACATAGATGATAGAAACCTATTTTCTCCATTAAACACAAGGTGTGAAATTGTTGAGTGTGATCAGAGAGGTTGTAATTTAGGGTGCTTGAGTAAATGGCTGCTCAAAAGGAATTATAAAAGGACATAACTGGGGAAACAGTTAAATGACAATTTTGGGAGCTAGCTAAAATCACTGGTATTTTTGAATGGTTTTCTCTAGCATTTATGCATAGCCTAGCTTTAAGAATGATGGACAAAAGAGGTGAGGGCTAAAGGGGAAGAGGAAGCGAAGAGAATGCTATATTCTGAGAAAATAAAAATAAAAGGATCCTAACTCTGGAGGCCTATATGAGGTCAAAGAATATTTATAGTGTTTTGAATAATCACATGGAAGAGCTGGAAGGGTGAGTAGCTATGGTGAGTCACAGAACATTCAGGCAGTTGCACTGGATGACAAGTTCTGGGGTGTGGCATTAGTGTTGTGGCTAAAGGTAGTAGCTCTAAAGGTCATGCCACTGAAAAGATAGGAACCATGAGATTAGGTGGTGTGAAGGGCACGTGGACATCTGGCACGATGGTGGATTTAGGATATAGAAGAACCATGTGAAACAGTGACTGTGAAGATGGGAGGTGGAGATGTGAGTGACAGCTCCAAAGATGCTTAGAGGATTACATAGATTGGGGTGGCATGAGTCTGGCTAAGGAAGGACTATGGTATCATAGCTTTGAATTTGCATGGGAGTAGGGAGAAATGTGTCTCCTGGATTATAGAGTAAGGGGAATAAAGGGAGCTATCATTTGGAAGGACAAAAGGACTTAGGCAGGAAGTAATATACTCATTGCTGTAGTAGTTTTCTATGACTGCTGTAATAAATTACAACAAACATAGTGGCTTAAAACAACATCATTTTTATCTCATAGTTCTGTAGGTAAAAAGTCCAAAGTGAGTTGGACTAAAATTGACATCTCAACAGCATTGCATTTCTTCAGGAGCCTATCGGGGTAGAATCTATTTCCTTGTTTTTTCAAGATTCTAGAGACCAACCACATTCCTTTGCTGTGGCCCCATCTCTCCATCTTCAAGCAAGCATTTACAGGGTCTCATTTTCCTCACACTGCACCACTCTGGTTGGTTTTCTGCTTTCATCATCACATATTGTCCCTTTTAAGAACCCATGTGATTATATTGAGCCAACCTGGATAAATTAGGGTAGTCTTCCCACCTCAGGTCCTTAACTTAATCACATCTGTAAAGTCCTATTTGGCAGAGGTTATATAGTTACAGGTTATAGGAATGATGACAAGGGCATCTTCAAGGCCCCATTATTCTGCCTACTAAGGAAATTAGGACTCAATTAAGGCAAAGAGGTTTTAGAAGCAGGTTGCAAATTGAGTGTGATGTTAGGGATTTATTTGCTATGAAATGACTTCGGAAGACATGGTGGAAAGGTTTGAGAGGAGTGGCAAGAATTTGGCAAAGTTGGGCCAGAAATGTGCTTTTTAATATTCGTATGATGTCCAATGGAAATGATCCTTTTGTTCATGCCATGATCCTTTCAGCATTATATTTGCTACCAACATAGATTGATGGGTGAGAAATGAGATTTTTTTAGTATGTTTATGAAACAGGCAAACCCTTCCTAGGTTTGACTAAAAAAAATCAGATTTTTTTTTAAACAGTATCAAAGCATTGGCTAAGTGAAAGATAATTTTAAGTTCATATTGTACTATTGTTTAGTGACTCTAAGCTGTCAACTAAATATGCTTTAAGGCTATCATTGCACATGTGCTTAAATGAAATTTGTTGAGGTCACTCACACAATTGTCACAGGCAACTGAATAGTTGTAATGAAGCTCTTGTTATATCAAGAACTGAGGCTGGGCTAAAAATAATAACTAAGGTGAAGTTGTATATGATTATAGCTATACTTGGAATTTCAAGTTACTCATATGAAAAATGTCAGCCCTTTACTAGCATTTCCTATCAAATGTTACTTTAGCAAAAATGTCATAATATCCCATGCTATCAAAACTGGCCAATATATTGTTACAACTTCATTTAATAACTAAAAATTAAAAAGCAAAGAGATATAATGTTGCTGTTTTGAAAGTCATACCATTATTCAAATAAAGAATGTTGGCAGCACCTATATTACACTCTGGTGGAAAGACATGACATGTTCTGATTAAAACATGTATGGAGTTTTCTGGGATATGTAACAACATTGTAATGATGTAATTTAAATGTTCATCTTACAACCAGCCAAGTTTGGGGACAGGGTCAAAAAATACTGGTGCAAAGTGATGAGACAGGAAAATTACAGGACTTTCACGTGTTTAAAGCAATCCTTTATTATTTTTGTTATGAATATTATGGTCTTCAAAATACATAGTATAATAGACTTCAAACTTAAGTATCACAATTGACAATCTAATTTGCCATTGTCTACCATTTTTGCATTATGTGACTCCTAGAGTATTATTGACCATATGCTATCCTGTATGGATGAAATGAATGTATCCTCTGAAAATGTGGACATTTCTTCTCTTTGTACACAAAGAGAATGGTACTTACACTATCAGAGCATCCCTGCTTTAGATATCTTTAAAAATATCATTAGTGGGCTGAAAAATGAGAAACTACAGAACACATGTGTTTTTAAAATTAAAATGATAGAGATGTCTATTTTCAAGGTATTCAAAATGCAGATTTTTAATAGTGATGCAAATGCAGACCAGAAAAGTTTAATTTCACTTGTTTATTTTTTTATTATTATTACTTGTTGACTTAGTTTTAGCCATTAATCAAATAAATGTGAAATAGGTATTTGAGGTCTTCTGGAGAAAAGTGAGGAGGTTTCAGTCAAGGTACAACCGAGTTTTGACCTGAGGCATAGATCTCTGAGAATACATGCATATTCAATACTCAAGGCTCACATACCTTCAGTGTCAAATTTGAGGTTTTATAAAAGTAGGTCCTTTCACAGGCTTATATAGATTTACATATTGTACAGAATCTTGCTCATACATAGCTAAAAAATTTCGGGTTGTTTTTGTTTTCCCTTTATTTTTTTCCAAATTTTTGGGTTACAGGTTTCTTGGCAAAGTTTCCTGTTGATTCAACTTTTGTTGAAAGTTGAACACACTGATATGTCAGATACTTGATATCACACACATATACTGAAATTCATAAGTCAATGATAGCCTCAGGAGCTTAGATTTGGGTTTCTACTTATGGAAACCTGTGACTTTTCTAAGAAATTGTGCCTTCATTTCCTTCATCTAATTCTGCAGTTCTACAAACTCTGGGATTCTCTTGATCTTAGATCTTTCAGTCTGCATTTTCTATTTGTCTCATCCACTTGACCATTTAAATTTAAATGATTGTTTTACAATTCCTTGAATAAATAAGCAATGTGCTTGTTTTTTTCTTACAGTTTCAATTTTAGTGTTTAAGGGATCTAATTATGTCTGTTAGATAAAATGACCTCATCAGTCAATAGAGAGATCAAACATTGAGAACTATCAAAAACTGGATTTAAGAAAGCAGCTCAGTATCTCTCTTTATCAACTTTGTGTGACCCTGGCATTTGACTATAATGGAATATAATATGTATATCCCTATTGACTATTTATATTTTACAAAGTAGCACTAAGGGGGCAAACAGGTATAACATTCATACACTTTGTCACTTCCTCCTCCACATAATGCTATGGGTCTGTTTTGCAAATTTAGGTGAAATTCAGCATAGATGTTAGCTGGGCAGACCTGTAATTCTTTTTCACTTGGAGAAACTGTTTTTCTCATATCATTGCAAATTATCATCCATGGGAAGAGAACACAAACATCTCTCATTTACATATTCTCTTAATTTGTGTATAGTAGCTAAATGGGTAAAACTTTTTTGGCTTAAATATCAATTTAGTGATACCTGTGGGTCAGGAGGCCACATTTGTTCTCCAGGCTGTGTTTCACATACAGGAATAAGACAGGAGATAAATAGTGGTTGGGTGAACTCAGCATTTATTAGAAAAATTTTGAAAGAGCAGCATCAGGATGGATATTGCAGTGATTATGCAATTAATCATTCTCTAAATTATTCAAACTTGGATGTTTATAAAAATAATGTGATAAATTAAAGTGATTGGAAAAAAATATTCCAAATTATTGAAAGTAAATATTCTTTTCCAAACTATTAAAAAAAAATCAATAATGGCATTTCTGAAATCAAATCCCAATTCTGTTTTATCATTGAATCACTTTTTAGTAACCTTTTTCCAGCAAATTTCAATTCCTTTGGAATATTTAACTGACACCTCTCAGAATAACTAATACTCTCTGATCAAATGATAAAAACTGCTAATTTCTTTAATTTCATTATGTACATACTTTTTGAGAGGGAGAGAACCTATATGAAAAACCCATATGATTATTTATAAAACCAAGTTTGTTTCCAAATAAATTGATATTACTGGTGCCCTTTTGAGAATATGTGCTTTGTAAGTAATCAGTTTAAAATGTTTATCTGAGCAATTAAAATTATTAAAGTTGGCACATTCACAATAGCTTTTCTGGTTTTCTTTTAAGGATCCTCTGTTTCACCTGGAATCACACAGATCTGAGAGAGGAAGGGGCAGATGTCCTTTTGACCCCAGCTCCTCCTTCATCTCCACTTTAATTGGTAATTATCGTGGCCGCAGACATCAGGTGGTAGTCATAATGATTTTGAAACCTATTTCTCAACTTCAGTTACATTCTTTCAGTATTTCTTTATATACTCTGCCTTGTCATATCTATTTACTGGTGCTGGAAGCAATGATATTCAATTTCAAACCATGCTAACTTTAACAATTAGACTCTAAAACAAGTGCAGCTGCTATGAAGTATGTGTCTCATTCTGAAAAAACAAATTGTCACTTAATACCTGATAAGAAATTTTTCATGGTGCTATTTACTGCTTACAAAATGCAATTATATGAAGACTTTAGAAAAATTTTGCCAGAGAAACTAAACTATTTTAATATGTGAATTTCTTTTAACTTTAGGGAAATTTCCATATTTTTGGTACCTTTCTCTGTTATCAGAATTTAGCAGAAAGGCATCTCAGTTGAAACTATCAAATTTATTTAAATTTTTGCTAATCTAGAATGTAAATTATAGAGGTTAACTAGCTCAAGCTATCACTAAATGTATGTATTGAAATAGAATACATTGACAATGTCTGATCTAGATTTCAATTTGATTAAATGTAATTGTATGAGTTACCTAAGAACCTCACATAAAGACACAACAAAGTACTTTGTCTTTGTCTTTTATACTATTTGGGGTTGAAAACAGCACACTTGTCAAAGTATTCTAGCACTGTGATGGTATAGACAGATGGATGAGTTCCTAAGTATAAAATTGGAGAAAGCAATCCCTGACACCTAACATAGGTGCTAATAGGAATGATGCTATTTCCTCAGTGTTGAGAGGGTCTATATAGGTATAGTACAAATGTGCAAGTTTCTAATACATTTACAATGTTTAGAACTATATATGATATGTGAGCATATTTCTCATCTTTGAAGAAAATGAGAAAAGATAAGATAGAGACTTCATATTCTAAACTCTTAAAACTTCCAATTGAAGATTAAAATATTTTATGCTTAAGAGTTGACTTGACTTAGGTTAGTAGAAATCAAAACCCTAAGAATGACACTTTTGATGAATGTCAGATCCATAAATGCTAGAAATTCCAAGGAAATTGACAGAATCCAAATTAAAATTAATACATTTGTTAGACTCATACAATCTTTTCCTAAAGTCTTTAGTGATTTTGGTAACTTCATATGTTTAACATTTTAATATGTCTGGAAAAAGAGACTTTTTCTTTTACCATATCCTATCTTGAACAGAATAGGCCTCCTATAAATACTGAATGAAATACTCATTGAGGTTCTTAAACAAAAAATAAATTTCAGACTATTTTTCATAAGAATATAAAGAAAATTGGAAGGTGAAAATTATACAATGCACAAAGCCTCTATAGTGAAATCCTAGGGATATTAATTTTAAAATTTCATTTAAATGGTTAGAAATAATTTCTGTAGCCACCCTGACTTTCAGTACTCTGCTCTTCCCTGGAGCTTGTTTATGCATGAAGCCAGGAATTTAAAACTGAAACTTTTAAGAGGGGGAATATTACTGGAGAGACATTTCCAAGTGAGTTTCATTGAACTTCCAAATCAAATTACACTCCGCTGAAATGTGAAGTGCTTGCCATCTGGGTGGCTGTTTCGCTTATTCAGAAGAGAAATCAAATCAAAAGAGCCCTCCAAGCTAAACACAAAAGTTATAGAATAATCCCCCAAAGAGGAGAAATAAAAATATAATTCTTCACATTTATCCACTCACTTTCATCCCAGAGTACCTTGGAGAGATCATTCACTCACTGTGGAAATGCAGCAGCCACTGGATGGAAACTTGATAACCTATATGAGCCAGAAACTCTTTAAAAGAGAGGAAGTGAAAATAATTCACCCAATTGAAATAGCAGCAGGAATGTGGGCTGGAAAAATGGAGCTACCTGAGTTGGAATTTGGCAAGCTTGGTGCAGTTTATTCTGACACAGAAAGAATGTATTAATGTGTTATTTTATGACCACACATGTTCTGTGCTGATGGGCTAAGACGAGACTCCAGGAAAAGATGGCTATCTTTAGACCATTGCTCCTCTTTCTTTGTTAATCATGTTAATCATGTCACACACGTTTAATGCTTGTTCACATGAAGACAGATTTAATGATAAAATACTGAAGTTGGTAGCAATACTCATAAAACTACAGGCCTCAAAGAAAACAACAGAACTTGCAAATCAGAGAATTCCCTATATGATTTCCTAACTTTAGATACAATTTTAGTTCAAGTTAACTTAAATTCAGTTCACTTAAGATAACATGTAGTAAAAGACTGTTGAAAAATTGAATATTAAAGATTATTGGATAGGTGAAAGACAAGTTAATAGGCACTTTATTAACTTTATAATCTGATTTAGAAAAAGTTGATAACTTATAATGATTTAATGTGGAAAAGGATTTAAAGAGTAAAACAACTCCTTATTGAGCTTGTTCTGTATGTTCAGAAACCAATAAAAATGAAATCATATCCACTCACTTTCATCCCAAAGTACCTTAGGTTTATTCTGAACTGCTACATTGTAGTAACATAATTTATCTTGGTGGCACACAAGTTCATGCCTGAAGTGAAATATTTCTGCATGTTTAGCCAAGTTTCCCCCCAGTGTGATTACTAATACGGTATTTAAAGTAGTATAAGCGGTGGGGCACAGTGGCTCACACTTGTAATCCTAGCACATTGGGAGGCCTAGGCAGAAGGATCACTTGAGGCCAGGAGTTCAAGACCAGCCTGAGCAACATAGTAGGACCCTATCTCTACAAAAGATAGAAAAATTAGCTGAGCATGGTGGTGTGACCCTGTAGTCCCAGCTACTTGGGATGCTGAGGCAGGAGTTTGAAGCTGCAGTGAGCTATGATGATGCCATGCAGCACTCTAGCCTGGGTGACAAAGCAAACCCTCTTAAAATAAAATAAATAATAAATGGTTAAGTAACTGTCTGAAGAATATAAGGCATTACAACCTGGTTTTAAAAATACCTTGTCAAAACAATGAAGTTTTCAGTAGAATGAATTGCTGCATAGCTTGCCTATTGTCTTTCAAATCATCTGAAGATACATAGTGCTTACTTTGCCACTAAATTATTAAGCTTAGTGACAGACCAAATAAAAATTCAGGGAATATTTTATGTCATATGTCATTTTGGCCAGAAAGAAAATATTTTAGTTGTCTCGTTATGTTTGATGTTACATTGTAATATTCTCATTCAATTGATAATACCTTCAGTAACTTTAGGATCCCTTATACTTTCTTCTTTCAATCCTTTTGCCATTTTTTTTTTTTTTTTGCACTTTATTCTGACCTATAGTTGTGTTACCAGTTCCAGGTATAATTTAATTCTACCATGCCTGAAATGCCTAAGGTATGCCAAGATGCACGTTGCTAGTACCTAGGGGAAAATCACTGATTTGTAATGTACCCTTTGACACTTTGCTTTGACAGTGTTAACTTTCAAAGTTGGGATATATTTAGGGATATATTTGTTGTCATATATTTAGGGATATTTTTGAAATTAAAGACTTACTAAATTATGTGTCACCAAATAACCACTAATAAGATATTTTACAGTCAATGAAATTTTCTTTCTACACTTTTGTCCTCTTACTTTTTTTTTCAGCAAACAAAACTACGAAGTTTATAGCCACCAAAATCTTTCTGAAGTGCCTTTCATAAAAATAAGACCTTTGTGAATATATATCCTCATTATAAATTCTATAAATTAAAGGTCAGCGTTGATTGAATGAGAGTTGAAATATACACAGGGAAAATTTGTGATTATTTCACGTTCTTAATAACGGCATTTTAAATAAATGTTTCTTTTTAATTATATTTATATTCAGGGAATATAACAGGCATTAAGATTAGAAAAGTAAATGAAAAAGTCTAAATAAAAGGTAGAATATGTGTCTTTGTAATTGTAACTTCTGCACATGTAACAAGTGAAAGTGCTGATTTGTGAATTCACCCCAACTGTATAGAAACCTAGACTTCAAGTTATTCCCTTAACCATGTTCCAGTCCCTAAAGAATATCTATAATTTCTTATCCAAGATTGCTGCTCTCTTACACTTGGCCAAACGCCCATTATCCACATGCTCTCTGCGGCGTCTGGCCATGACTGCTAGTCTCTAGAGAACTCTTTGAATGCTCTTTGCTTATGGTTTCTTCACAATGAAAAAAAAAAAAAAAAAGATAGAGTAAAAAATTCCTACTCTTTAATTCTCCACTTATATTCTCTCCTTTAAGAATCTGGTTTAACTATGATGATATCAACGTCGCAGTTTGCCACCAAGAACACTCTGAGTACAGCCACAAGTGCTGACAAATACAAATAAACAAATTCAAAACATTTTTCTTTCTCCTTATCTCAAAAACCACCTTCTTAACATTGGTAACACATGCTAATTATCTGGCAAAACAAAAACAAACCGAAAGTCCAAACAACAACTAAATACCTAAGAAAGTCACTTGCTTTTCCTGGTTTCTTTCAGCATCCTAAGCAGAATGTGATGTAAACTAAGATGTTGGAATATATGGATAGTTCTCATCCTAAGTTCATTTTCTTTTCTAGCTATGCATGTCTAGAATAGTCATGCTGCAAAATAGTCCATCCAAAGTAGAATAACTTGCTAACAAAATTATAAAATTACGTTATAAAGTAAAGCAGCTAAAAATATCTAAAGCTCATTTCAGGTGTTTAAGATGAGCTATGAAATGCAATAGAACATTTAGGATAAGAGATTCCGGTTTTTCAAAACTGCTTCAGGGAGAAAATATCAAAAGAAAATAAAGCTATTAAGAACTTATAAGAAGAGATCTTTGAATTTTTGTTCTATAAGGACCTTATGTATTAATTTTTATTAATTAACACAGGAACTCTATTTTTTTCCCTAGAATTTATCCCCAATAGTTTCAACCCAAAGAACACTATCGTGATTAAAAGACTTTAGACATATGCTGGTCCATGGAGCAAATGTGTTTCACATTATTTAGATTTGTAAAACATACATTTACAACATAAACAGGAAAAATGCTTGAGTAAAACTTGAAAGGATAAAGTGGTCATGAAAAACTACTGTGACATTTTTTCTTACTAGATATTAAAAGTGACAGGTCCAACATGGTAAAAACTCATACGGTACATGAACAAAACTCTTGGTAAGTTCCATAAAATATTAAGACAATGCAATATGCTTAATTAAAATCTCAATTAGAGTTTGTGTTGTAAAAAAGTTATATAGAAAAGTATTTTAATTACACATTTAAACTTAAAATTACAAAGAATTTGTTTTTGTATATTGCCAAGCGTTAAATGATTATCTTATTTTCTTTCTTATAAACAGTTTAGTGTAGACATAGTTTTTTAATCACAATAGTGACATTAGTAAGTCATAATTGCAAACACCTAAGGAGTCAATTAAAATATTGTAGGATGAGCAATATGATAGAAATAGATGTGGAGGCTATGGTGGTACTAGAAACCATTAAACTAACACAAGTTTGGTCAGGGAAGGCTTCATTGATAAAGTGGGCAATAGCCAGATAAATAGGAAGTGACATGTAAAGGGAGACGTGGAATTATAGGCAAAAGAGCAGTAGAGAAAACACATAAGTTTGGCAGGTTCAAAAAATCACCTGGAATTCCCTTTGATTCTACAGATAAATGAGACCATGAGATGTTGAATGGTTTTACCACAGTCAAAGGACAGTTTGAGCTAGGGACTGTGGCAGATTTTCACAGCAGAATTATTTCTACTATTCTTTTTTTCTGGACATAGAGACTCTTGTTGAGCATGACAAGAAGTTACACTCACCTGTCAAAACGCCTTGAAAATGTGTTGTGCTTTTTAACTATAACCATATTTGACCATCTAAAATTAACATAATATCACTTATCAATGTTAGTGCTGTAACAATAAATATATAACAATTAGTTGGTTATTTGTATTCAGAATATAAAAATAGATTAGATACCAGTTAAATTTATGGTTACGGTAACACCTTTATTAAATATGTCTTCATACAAATAGAAAAATAAATCTTTGGGTAGTTCTGCACTTGACATTGAAGCCCTAAAACATATTTTATTCTTTATATGAAATGTTTTCTTTTTAAACCATGAAAATGTGATTTATGCAAATGTTACTTTTACACTGTATGAGACACCAAAATATTGATTCACAAATTCTCTGATACTAAGTAGTTATAATTTTAAAGTATATTTTCAATTAGAAACTATATATTACTATAAATAATACCACTAATTATAATGATGCTGAGTATTTTTGATTATTTAAGTACCATTAGGTAATATTTGTATCTAAAGCTTTATTCTAATTTATTGTTTTTCATTACTGTTTTTTCCTATTTTTCTTAGAAAAGTATTTTGTCAAACATAATTATCAATTACTATGAATTTTTTCTTCTTTACTTTGATAATAGGATACAAAATGAGAATCTTTCCCTTCTGATAAAAAGCCAATGTTTTCAACACAAATACATTTGATTCCATTTACATAGCTTATGGTTTTTTTAGCATCTGTCTAGCCTCTTTGAAGTTTAAGTCATACACTTCATAATGTGTTATTTGAATTGTTCAGAAGCTATTTTTTTTATCTGAACACAAAATGGGAAATTGGGTAAAATCGGAAATATATTATTTCTTTTGTACAGATAACCTGCCCTGGATGTGGTATTAATTGGTATCATAGCATTGCCATCTAGTGGCTCCAAGGGGTACTGCTTTGTTAATTTTACAACAATGATAAAATCACTTTAAAACAATATTCCAAATTATGATAAATGCAGTACAATTGATATGTACTAATAAATATTATATGCTAGATTAGATTCCCATAATATTTTCAGTTATAAAATTTCTAAAATATTTTAAGAAATGAAAATATTAACTTAATAGAAAAATGTCATGATTAAGAAATCTAGTATTTAAACCTATTATGCATTAAAGCTTCATCCCAGCCCAAGTTAAAAAAAAAAAAGTTATGTTTACAATATGGCTTGTATATTTGATGTAGGAAACAATTCAACAATAATTAAAAGCAAAAATATTTCAAAACAATCTTCACTTGTGTTAGTCAATACTTTTTTAATGATCAATCAACTTGATCATTTATGCCATACAGTTGATGATTCTCAAGTACTTTTAATGACTGGCTGTATCTCTGTTCAAGTAGTGCAGACTAAATTTCAGTAACAGTTCACATCTCCAACCACTGCATGTATTTTGTCTCAAAATGCTCTTTCTCCATATTTAGATATGAAATTTCTAGTGAAGACAGCACTAATTGACTTAGCTATAAGTTAGATTGCTCCTTTCTCTTGAATTACCAAAGAACATGAAGTGCCTAAGGGGTTAAAACTTTTCTCTACCAAATTATTAATGTTCTTAACTTCAGATTTAAAGCATCCTTGTTTTTTTCCCCAGTTATTTTCCTTATCACACCTCTGAATATATGGGATGAACTAAAAAAAGTCTCTCTTAAAGATTTTGTCATCTTGAAAATTTTCAAATATAAAGAAGAGTAAAATTAACACCTGTGTACCATTTACGTTGATTAACCAATTAACATCCTGCCACAGTTGCTTTTCCCTCTCTCTCATATATATAGTTTAAAAGTAAATTCCTCTGTGGATACCTGGATTGTATTTATTTCTATCCTATTATTATATGTTTTTAAGCATCCTTAACAGGTTTTATGAATAGAACTATTTTGCATTGCTTATCTTTTAAAAATGAGAAAAAGCTGATAGTAATACTTCTAAAAGTTTTTCTTTAAACTTTGAATTCAATTTATATCTTATTATTCTAGGTCTGGTATAACAAAAGTTAACTGATTATTAAATTTTAAAAAGTAAAGATGATTGCTTTTGTTATACCAGACCTAGAATAAGTTTCCTTACAAATTGTCCTATATGTATTTCAGTTATCAATTTCTCAATGTTAAATTGTATAAATTTAATCTACTTAAGGTTTTTAAAGGTTTAAAGGCTTTACACCTTAAGAAAATAAGCCTTCATAAATTTTGAAAGAATTTTAATAACCTAATAAATAAAATCTATAAATAACAAACTCAAATTCTTTAAAATTCTGATTATATATTTGGTCAAATTTTTGTACCTGTAACTTTAATAATCCTAATTCTAAAATTGATTCTATAATTAGATATGTTAAATTGGAAATACAATCAATTTGTGTTCTCTTAAACTTTAATAGGGCACTTTAAAAATCATGTGTATACATGTGTGCACATTCCAAGTCTAACAGAAAAGTATTAATATTCTATGTAATATTTCATCATCTATTTATTTTTAAGCCAGACCAGAGCTATATGTCACTCATTAAAAACATAATTTTGTCACTCTAAATTGAGGTAGCTATTTCCAGCAATATACTGTTATCATCTGGTTTTTGGCTGGAAAATTTTGCCTGGGACAGAACACCTGCACAGCTCATGGCTGTCCTGGTATACTGAGGGGTACATTTCTTACCTCTTGCCATTTTTCAGGAAAGAAAGATTTCAAGTTCCTATGCTTGAGAGGTATTGATTTTTCTGGGGTTCAAGTTACACCCTTATATTTTCCATTTGTTTAAAAAAAATTTTTTTCTGTTCTCTTAAATGATTTTAACATCTTTCTGGCTCCAAAGACACATTGTCATTTCTTGAGATTCTGCATACGTTTGTGTAATTCCTTGGTCTGATTTTTAACTCTTTGACTTGCACCACATGTTGCAGCTAACTACATTCAGTCTTTCTGTTGACAACCCGATTAAATTTTGAGCTCTTTTTCTATGCTTCCTATCAGACTGAGCCACAAATTTATGAATTAAATAGCAACTGATTGGGCTATATACAACTTTGTGGTTCCCACACCAAAATCATTAATGATAATAATTTCTTGTTGTAAGAAAGATTTGAATTAGCTGAATCACATATAATATCTGTAATAATAAAGCCCTGATATAAAGGTTAAAAGAAGTTTAGTAAATAAGATGAAACTAAGTATTTACCAAAAACACATATAGCTCTTACTATTCCCTACCAACTCTTCCAAGCGCTTTACACTTCACTATCCTATTGAGTGCTATTCCTTTTCTCATTTGTAAATGGGAAAAGTGAGGCACAGGGAGGTTAGTAACTTGTCCAGCTAGTAAGTGACAGAGTCCAGATTCAAAGCCCGGCAGTCTGACTGCACCACCTGTGTGTGCTCTTAACAATAGTATTAATGTCATAAAGTACATATTATATGTATACGTAATAGATCTGGATGTTTGATATAATTGTGGTTTATATCTTTTCTTTAGATATAGAAAAAAATACTGACTTATATTGAACTGATGCTTCCATGTAGGTAGTGAATTGTTTGCTGGGCTCTACAGTGACTACTGGGGCAGAGACGCTGCAATCTTCCGGAGCCTGGGGCGGCTGGCCCACATTCGCACTGAGCACGACGATGAACGCCTGTTGAAAGGTAAGGTTGAAGGGGAAAGAGTATATGAATAGAATTGAAATCAACTCTAGAACTTTGGGGAAATTTCACCATTTTGATAACAACATAAATATAATTTATAATGTTTACAAATTTCGGGAGGTTTTATTAGCAATATTCTTGAATTAAAATGTTATACATGATATGTGTATATCATTTTCTATTATGAACTGGCTTGATTAGAAAACCAATTTACCTTTATAGCAATGCTTAGAAATCAAGATTTATATGAAGAAAACAAAGCAACTGTATGAAAAGTGAAAAACCTATCATCCAATAAGATGTCTTGTCATTCTTATCAATTGGTATAATTTTTGACGAATTACTTGCTTTACTTTGTTTTAATAGGATCGCATCGCACTTTAGAGACAAATAGAACACTGGGAAAGTCACTAGAATTGATACAGAATTCTTTATACTGTACTTTTTGGCACAGTGGTAAATCTAGCGACTAAGACATTTTTTGGTGAACATTTTTATCACTTTCCAAATTTTTATTAAGCTTTAAAATGCATAATCATTATTGGTAGCATGTTATCATGAAAAGATTTTGCATACCATATCATCAAAAGTCACTGACTCAAATCCCTTAGACTATGAACTCAAAAACTTAAGGTTTTCTACATTAAAGCTAAAGTGATCTTCCATGTGCTAAAATGGTAGATAATTTATGAATTAAGTAATGATATACTTTCTACTTTAATATTTTACTTATGTTTACATTCACTCTTTATGTATAATGGGAGGAAATTTGTGGAGATTATCTTCATGGTTCCTCCAATTTGTTCTTCATTGAATGCATTTTAAGCTCACCATGTATGTTGTTCAAAATTGTCCTTCAATGACGCTTATTTTCCAATTAAATATTCCTTTAGTATTTCTAAAACATCTGTTGATTTGCAAATAAAATGGAGATATCTACATGGATTTGATTGGTAAACAATTTCTAGGAAGATGTTTTCTTCTCAAAAGGATGAGAGTTAAACTTAAGCATTCAGGTTATATATAATTTATTACAATATCTTGGTATCATTTATTATAGTATCTTTTTCACTTTTTGTTCTATTTTTTACTTCTATTAGAACCAAAGTTTGTAGGTTCATATATGATTCCTGATAATGAAGACCGAGATGACAACAAAGTGTATTTCTTTTTTACGGAGAAGGCCTTGGAAGCAGAAAACAATGCTCACACAGTTTACACCAGAGTGGGGCGACTCTGTGTGGTGAGGACTTCTCTCACTAAGCTTGCTTATCTCACAATTTATGGTCAACCCTTGGTTAATTTTATAGGATTCTACTTCAAAATACTTTTTAGTATTCTGTAGGCTGCCTAAAAATGGTATTTGCTATATTAAACTTTATAGTTCATACCCAGTGAAAGTTATATATTGAAAGAGCCTTGTATTTTGTATGATTTTTAGAAACATACTGAAAAGAAATAACCTATAATTAGACTTTTTCCCACAGTGAAGTTTGAGCTTTATTTTTAAAATTATAAATTAAAACATCTATAGTTCATTGAATATTCAGTTTGCATGGGAAAATTCAAAACCAATTGAAATAGCAACATATATTGAGAGAATGTTAATACAAATGTAAACTATTTTTGGCATTTAAGAAAATACTTAAGAATTAAAGGAAATATTTATATATATTCACATATATGTATATATGTGTGTGTAAAGTACATGTGTATATATATATAAGTATATTGTGTATTTCAAGCTTTCCTTATTGAAGAAAAAAATGGATACGTTCATATCCTTGACACAGGTAGATATTTTAGCAAATAAAATAATCAAGATTATTGTGTCATAAAACACACTGCTTTATTTAGAGAGAGGTTATTACTCTGTTAATATTGTTTAATACATGGAAAATATATTTGATGTACCAGAGTGAATGTACATTGAAATGAGACAATGTGCAAACCAATATATGTATATATGTGTGTGTATGTGTGTGTAGGCACTGTATCTATGGTACTACTTGAAGATTATGCTAAATTTTCCTAGTTTAATTGAAAAGCCATAATTCTTGGCATAATATAAAACTTGTTGGTGATGAAAGTTCTTTGTAAGTACCCATTGACCTGCTTTTTGTTTTTCACAGAATGACGCAGGAGGGCAGAGAATACTGGTGAATAAGTGGAGCACTTTCCTAAAAGCCAGACTGGTTTGCTCAGTACCAGGAATGAATGGAATTGATACGTATTTTGATGAATTAGGTAAATGTTATTAGGTGAATTAAATTTTATTCTTTGATGCGTATTCTTCTCTATAACTCTCTCTCTAGCACACGTGGAAAATTTATTTTCTGTGTATTTGGCCTCTTTTGAACAGCCAGCCAGTTTATGTCCTTGTCATTTTGGCCAGGCTGATGTAGTGTGGGCAAAAAAAGTTGCAGAAACAAAAAGACTCATAGCTTAGTGTAAGTGACTCAGCTCAAAACTACTCAAAACAGTCAAATGATTCACTCTGTTATGATTTGGTTATGGTTGTATGATTTTTATATGGAAATGTGTAACTTAAAATCTATATTGGGTTCTAAACTATTTTAAATGAATATGTTTTCTTTGTATGGAAAGAGGGCTAAAAATACTAAGTGATGGAACTGTCTTTAATTTTTCAGAGGATGTCTTTTTGCTACATACCAGAGATCATAAGAACCCAGTGATATTTGGACTCTTTAACATGACCAGGTGAGATATTTATATAGTCAATAAAAATTATATAAAACAAAAGATGTCTCACTGGACTACCCCTTTATAGTGTATATAACTTGAAATACTATTGACCTGCTTGCTATTCTCATTTTCGGTGCTTTCTAAGTAGCCAATTTATCTTCATTCTCCTATGTTTGCAATTGTACTCTCTTTTTCAAAGCTACAATCTCAAATCTAGATTTTTCCTTCTTTTAGTTCATAGTACCCCAACATTCTCCTGTGCTCAGTAGCCCAATCTCTTCCCTTACTAATCTACAATAGAATGATTTTTTTCTCATATTTTGTAAGATGGTGTATTTCGTCTATAATCTAGGATAATCATTTTATTCATTGGATAGAATTTTCCAAGCCAGGTTTTCAAGGCTCTCAATCCACTATTACCGACTCACCTTTGGAAATTTTTCCTCTGAGTTCTCTAATGCTCTGCTTGTAACAAGATAATACCTTAAGAGATCCCAGGTAGTGTCTGCTTTGCTAGTTCCCATTACTATTAATGTATTTTTATTTATTCACTTATTTTGCTTGAAATGACTTTTATAACAGTGATTTATATCTCTCCAATACTTGTTAATAGCCATGTCCAAGAAATATTTCTTGATTCCTGAATCACAAAGTATTTTCTCACTCCTTTATTCTGGTTGTCCCAATCTTGTGTTCACTTGTAGTGAACTCATGTTTGTGATTTGCTCTCCATCTTTTAAATTTGCTGCTCAAGTTTAAGAATTATAATCTGTTGTTTTCCTTTTTGTGTTTTTGTATTTTATACCCATATTAGAGTACTTTAAAAATGAACATTTCATGTGTACTAATGCATGGATAAAAAAAAATATTAGAATCAGTTTGAGTTGAAATTTTATATTGATAATTTCCTCAGTATCTTTTCAAATAAAACAGAGTGGGGGGGTAAAATGGGGTAAAAAAGAAGAATATACCTCAATTCTCTTGAGAGGGACAGAACGATATCACCAAGTTCCTCTTTTGCATTGTAGGCCATAAACTGTTACATAATCATGCATACTGTGCTTACTTAGGGCCCTTTTACACAGGTTTTGTTTAGCTTTTTCAGCCTGTGATTTCTAATGTACGCTTTGAACAAAATAATAAATGTTTTTGGACAAGTAACCTACTATCATAAAGAGATCTTTTCTTCAATAGAGAAACATTGAAATAATTTTTCATATCAATTATTTATTGATGCAAATAAAAATAGTTAGTGAAAATTGGTAGTTATCCCAATCCATGGAAAGTCCTTAACCAGGGTTGGGGAACCTGCAGCTGTAAGTCCACATGTGACCTGCTAGGTCCTTTAATGTAGTCTTTTGAATGAATCCACATTTGACAAAACAAATCATTTTTATTAATATGCTTTTGTTCATCTTTTATATTTTTATTTGTAAAATGAACATATTTAAAATACCAAAGAACAAAATAAGTTTCAATGAAATAATCCTCCCAGATTGACGGGCACTATTAGAACATTAGCAAGCCATAAGGGCTAAATTGACCGTGGCTACACTCATGATTTAGTTCCAATTTCCCCTGCTTTACTGGCACCACTATCACAGAAGGCTGGTCGCTGAAAGTTTATAGGAGTGAGTATGCCAGTCTGTTATCAGCTTTTGACAACAGTGCCCTGTGTTTCTGTCTGAAGTGGAATTTGAATAGTTGCACAGCTAGACAGTATTTTTTAATTCTGTCTGCTCAATAGGCCATCATGTCAAAGACGACCAAGAGAAAGCTGAAGGAAGAAAATACTTTTTAATGAGGTTTGGTAATTGCAATATTACTGTGTTTCCCCAAAAATAAGACCTACCCATAAAATAAGCCCTAGCAGGATTTCTAAGCATTTGCGCCGATAAGAGCCCCACCCCGAAAATAAGACCTAGCGATGGGGGTGGCTACATAGCATATCTGCACAACCCATGCATTTCTTCGAGGAGTGGTAAAAACAATGAGCAGTCCTTCTCATCTGCCCCATGAGAGCTCTCTTGACATGAGAGATTGGGGCCAATGGTTCTAAAAGGAAATAGAGTTGCAAGAAATTCAGGACAGAATTCGGGGTTTGGAGAGTCATGATGATGTTCCAGAAAAAGATGACCTAACTATATTTGAATAAATGTAGATTGTTGTATCGTACTTAAAAAAAAAAAAAAACACATCCCCTGAAAATAAGCCCTAGGGTGTCATCTTGAGGAAAAATAAATATAAGACCCTGTCTTATTTTGTGGGAAACACAGTACCTTGTTTCTGCTAAAGATAAGATGATTTGCTTGCTTTGTGATACTGCAACATCAACACCAAAGAAATTCAATGCTCATGAACATTGTAACACTCAAGGACCACAGATATTTTAAATTAGAGGGAGAGATACAAAATGTTGTATCACAGAAATTAAAAGATGAAAAGCAAAAGCAAAGACAATTCTTTCAAGCAGTAATGAGACTAGGAAATAATGCCACTGAAGCAACCTCTGTACTTGGGGAAAAAAAGGGAACAATCTATTCAGTGATGTAGCAATTGTGAAAGAATGCATTGTCAAAGTTGTAGGATGCTTAGTCCCCAAAAACGTTTCAAAGTACAAACAAACTGCCTCTTTCAAGGAGAACCATAGCTGATCGGCAGCATGAGTTAGCCTTCAACTTAGCAGAACAATTTCATGCAATACTTCAAAAGGAAAATATATATTATTCAATTGCTTTGGATAATCAACTGATACTACTGACTCAGTACAGTTTTTATAGTTCATTTGAGTCATAACAAGATTTTCTCTGCTACGAAGAGTTATTCACTTTGGGCACTCTTGTGAACAGTACACAGGAAATATATAGGAATACATATTTTTAACAACTTTCAAGATAAATGTTGGACTGAATTTGGTAAATTTAATTACAGACAGTACACCTTCCATGATGAGAAAACATGAAGGGTTTATGGCACAGATTTAAGAAGTATTAACAGATTCAGATGCTGTCATTTCTGTTCATCGTATCTTGTATCAGCAAAATCTCTGTGCTAAACCTACTATTTTAAGTGACACTTTGCAACAAGTTATAAGTATTGTTAACTATATTCATGCAAATGTAACATGACATTGTCGGTTTCATAACATGCTAAAGTTGAAGGATGAGATATTCAGTGTTGCAAGGACAGGTGCCAGCCAAAATTTTATCTCTGTGAGAACAGATAAATTTTATTCAGAATCGGATCAGCAATGTGAATTATTGAAAGAATATTTCTGTAGAAATACATAATTTCTGTGTGATATTATGTCAAAACGACTTGAATATTTCTTTGCAAGGTAAAGCTAAGTCTAGATATGATACGTGGCAACAAATTCAAGCATTTCAAAAAAAGCTATCTTTTTTCAAAACACTTCTTCAAAAGGAAATTTCAGATGAACGTTTTCCCTAGTTAGCAAAGGTCATGATGAGCAGGATGATATATGCTAATCATTTGAAGAATACGCAGCTGTTACAAACCTATTAATTGGAAAATACAATGAGAGTTTCGCTGACTTTGAGAATCATGACATCACCCTCAAATTAGCATTTCAGCATCACCTAGTTGATATTACCAAGGCACCTAAAGAACTACAGATGGAATGGATTGAGCTCTCAGAGTAGATGACAGTTTGGAGTCATTGTTTGATGTTACGAAATAGCCAATTGAAATATGAAAAAATGCAGAAATCCCATGCCAACAGCAACATGCCCAAAAAATGCTTTCTTGCTTTTCAACCACTTATTGCTGCAAATCTACATTTTCCTACCAAACCCAAATCAAGAGGCCCTTGAGGTCACAAATAACTCATATTTCCATGTAGAGGATCAACTGGAACTACAGATCTCCATGCTGCAACCAAAGATTCAAATGCTTTCCAACAAAAAGCAGACACAACAAAGTCATTGAAAGGTTAACCTTTAAAATTAGTTTACATTTTTTGAAATTGTTAAGTACATAGTAGTTAGATTTTTACAAAATAAAATGTACATTTTAAGTATATCTAATTGAAGTTCTTGAATACAGCCTTATTTGATTACAGCTAAGTGAATGCAGCCTTCCAACATGAAAAGGTTCCTCATCCCTTTCCTTAATTTTTTCTTGTTATCTCCCTTATGTCAGTAATTTATACATTGCATGAGCATTCAATGGCTTTATATGATACAGTTTTGAGATAATCAGTATTATTTTTCTGTGGGTCAGTATGAACATTGCATAAGCTACTTTCCAAAATGATAGCATAATGGAGCTTTCTTAGAAATCAAAGACATGATTTTCTTCCATAATTTCAACTGTTCAGTTTATAGAAATATCTAAGAAAAAACTTCCCAGCTGTTACCTGACATAAAGGTTGATTTTTGTAGAGTGGTGATCAAAGGTTTACTGCCACTTTAGTTGCAGATTTTTTCAGTATGCAAGGCATTTCCAATTGCTTCAAGGTGTGTTATAAAATGTGTGAATTGATGTCCTAGGACAGTAATATAACTGCTGTTTTACAGGTGTCTCAGGGTATAGGAAATTTCATATTTATATAGAACTTTACATTTTGTAAAGCACTTTCACAAACATTTTGATTATTATAATATGGAGACTGGGATAATAAGTCATATCATGCTAAATAAAGAAACATGGCCAGATTTTTTTTAAATGAATGTGTTTTGGAGAATCTGATTACAAATGTTTCTACTAAAACTTTCTGTAGTTACCTTATCTTCTCCAGGTTGAAATTTTGTTTTTGTTTTTTCGCTTTCCTGTGTTCTCTCAACCAAGTAGAAATTTTTACCAAGAAAATTTCAATTGCTGCTAGTTCTGGAAATGAGAGATCTGAGTTATATAATTTAATTATCTCAAGATTAATATATCTAGTCTAATAATCTTTCCACTATAATTTTCTGTGAACTAGAGGAAAAAATATAAGTGTTTTAATGTCTACCTAAATCCAAGCTAAAAATGCAACAAATTCCTAAATTTTTATGAGACTTTAAATTGTTCTTCAAATTATATACACTCAGATATTTTATAAAATATAAATAGAATTTGTAGCAACATTAGCAGAATAGTGATTAAGAGAACACTATTTACACTGAAGATGGAACAATATTAAAGGAGCTAATACCTTAAAATGTGTAACTCAACTTGGGAATGAATCTTTAATATTAAGGCCAGATATTTAATAAGAAATATAAAAACAAAATAGAACTTAATAAAGTGAAGTGACACAACTACTTTTCTCATTCTAACAATGTCATTTTCCATTGTATTAAATAAGCAATTAAAGAAATAAGTTTTAGAGTTTCAATGCTTGAACTATTGTAATAGTTATTATTTCTAGAATATTCTATGCTTAAAGAAATTACAGCTTTTTTACTCAAAAGACTTAACTCTTATATATGTAGTCTGAAGTGTTTGGCTAGGTGACCTGCTAGTTAGTTCCAGAATAGTAACTATCTTTTTTTGTACTTTTCAGTAACATATTTCGAGGGCATGCTATATGTGTCTATCATATGTCTAGCATCCGGGCAGCCTTTAATGGACCATATGCACATAAGGAAGGACCTGAGTATCACTGGTCACTCTATGAAGGAAAAGTCCCTTACCCAAGACCTGGTTCTGTAAGTTTAGTCATTTAACAAAGTATTTTTTAAAGGCTCTTTTTGCTAATATTTTGTTCACCATTTCATGTGTCTGACAAGACTTTGCAATTAAACAATTAATTACTTAGGTACGAGCCTCGACTATAGTCGATAGCCACAGATGAATGCACACAGCCAAGCGTCGACTTTAGCCGACAGCTGCGATATGAGTTTTCTAATTTTCCATTTATCAAAATAAAATTGTGAACATTTAAAAATAATGTAATGAAAACACATGTATATGTTACCTATTCTGATTTACATTACAAGTAAAGCTGCCTGTAAAGTAAAACAAGCTTTCAGTGCTTTCAAGCTTTCCTCATCACACAAGAGCAAAACAGATTTGTCCTCAATGCACAGCACAAATTATCATGCCGACTATGAGTGCCGGCTGTGGGCAAGGTTTTGCGGCCAGTGAGCGCCATACCGAAGTGGTTAAGGAATTCTATACCTAAAAGTATGATTGATAAAATGTATGGTAAATACTAATAAATATCACTTCAAATCTTTAGTTGTGTACTTGTTACTTCATGGAAAAATATAATCTATGGATGCATTTGAGCAGAACTATACAATATATATTATCATTGATATTTTGACTAAGCACTAATCTTATTCTTAGGAGAGATGAACACAGAAATATTCAATCATATGAGCATAATGTTCCTTTCAGCCTCTTCAGAAAAGTTAGTACATGTCATTTATAAGCAAGAAAATGTCAAATTTTTCTATTCTAATATTTAGATTAGCCTCTAAGTTCCGCAGGCCAAACTTTCTCCTTCTCATTTTAGCAGATCTAAAACAAGTTTTTTTCTCTATATCCTCAGTACCTCATTTAACATCCTTGCTGGCCTCTTAGAAGAAAAAAAAAATGCCAGTTCAAAAGTGTCACTAGAGGACAGGAACTTCTGTCGCTTGACTCTAAACCGGCACTACTAAGATTCTTCTTAGCTACCCAAACTTTTGTGCTTTTAAATTTACATGTGTCTAAAAATGGTGATGATGATGGTGATGATTTTGTATCATGCATATTTTGTGCGATTAGGTTGGAAAGATGTTGCATCATTGTATGTGCTATGTTGGCCACGAAGAGCAAACACTTAACTTGTCACACTAGTCAACATCTACACTTTTATGAGCAGCTGGTGAAATCCCATCACTATGCTGACTCTACAATCACTTGCAAGTCAAGTAGAAACCATTCTTGCAGAGCCAAAACCCAAAGTGGAAACAAACCTTACCTACATTAACGAGTGTAAGGCTTTACCATTTCAATCACTCTCTCTCACTAGCTTAAAATTATTACTTCCAGTAGGACATAAAGTATATTTTATTTCATTCTATTGATTGAAATTACCATTTAAATGGAGAAAACCCACTCCTGTGGCTTTGCTGGAAATGCTTCTTGAAACCACATGGTCTTAAAGGAGATTTGGAGGAAGTGACTGGTTACTGAACTGCTTCCAACCTAGTCCAAAATGTTTCCAATTATATATCATGAAAGTATACTCAAGTGAAAAATACATGCCAAATTAAGAAATATGGCTTGATTTTTAAAACCAAACCATTATAAATGCTTTCTTTTCAGAATATGATTACTAAACTGCCATATTTATAGTCTTAGAAAATTTTTATCAAGATAATTGTTGCAATTGCTGCAGGTTTTGGAGGAAAACATGTGAAATGAGGAAGCACTTGTTAACGAGCATGAATCAACACATTTCAAGGTTTTCCAATAAGTAGTTTAAGAAGCTGTTGGAAATTTTAGAGTCAGTGATTTAAAAATTGACGTTATAGCAAATTTTTTCCCCCAGTTGTGTCTGATCCACACAAACATAATACAAATTCATACAGATTATAATAGTACAACAGAACAAATTCATACAGATAATAGAGGGTTTTTTCCATCAATAATTAACATTTGAATAGGTTTCTATGTTATAGCACTAAAATTCTATAGTCAGTGAGCCAGTTGGAACGATCAGCAGTTATATTATCAGAGTCTCAATGATGGAAAAGCTACTTTGAGCAGTTGTGATTCTTAGTTTTGAGAAAAGTTTCAGCACAACAAAGAGGCTTTCTGTATGAACAATAGATTGTTTAACTTTGAAATTTAATTTACAATGTGAAAGATCTCAAAAACAAGAAAAATTTGGATATTATGTTAAACATTTTTAACACTTTCAAATTGTCTTGGTATTATAAGTAAACTTTACTTTTCCAGGATTTCTCTACTTTTGCTATATTTCTAGTGCTGTATATTTGAAATAATTTAATCTGTTTTTGTAATGTTTAATGCAGATTTCATTTCTGTAATGAAAAACGTATGGTTACTAAATGTTTCTAAATGCACTATTGATAATTGAACATATTCAGTTTTCCTAATTCTTCTCATAATTGATTATAAATTTGCTCTTTGGGTTTAAGGCAGAAAGAATTATCTAATCCACTTGTATTTCAGTGTGCCAGTAAAGTAAATGGAGGGAGATATGGAACTACCAAAGACTATCCTGACGATGCCATCCGATTTGCAAGAAGTCATCCACTAATGTACCAGTCTATAAAACCTGCTCACAAAAAACCAATACTGGTAAAAACAGATGGAAAATATAACCTGAAACAAATAGCAGTGGATCGAGTAGAAGCTGAGGATGGCCAATATGATGTGTTGTTTATTGGTACAGGTAAAGAGATGAGAACATACTCAGAAATACTTACATTGACCCTAAAAATTAACAACCCTAACAACATTTTTAAAGGCACCTATCAACAAATCTCTTGATCTTTTAGTTCATTTGTACGTTTCTAACTTATAATGAGAAAGATTGAAATAGAGCCCTCATAGGACTGCAACAGTAAGAGTTTATGTCTATTATTTTGGAATAATTATTGCTATTACCAGTTTTATTGTCAATAGTATCATGGTTTGGACAATAAAGTATGTGGTCACCCTTTTTCCAGACCTCAGAAATATTGAAACTATTGGGAAGAGAGGATTTGGGACTATTGTAAGCACATAATTCCAGATAAATGGTCAATGCCTAATACATTTGAAGAAATGAATAATAGATATTAACAAACAGGTTGGTTCCAAATAGGACTAACTCATAGTGGAAGTAGAGTGTCATAGCAAGAATGTTTTACCTGTCAGTCTCCAAGCCTATTACTTCCCCTGGCTGGCTCAGTAAGGCCTCAAATTTTATACACAACTTGAGACAATAACTTTACCTAAATCTATAACCACAGTAATTCACAGTAATATCAGGACCCATCATAATCAACCATTTGTACCAAGCAGGCCAATTATTACCCAAAATACCCTACATTAACAAAATAGAGTAATGAATATGTTAAAAGTAAAATTTTTAAAATTTCAATTTAGGTTCCACATTAGGTCTAATTTCTGGATGATAACTAAGAAACTTATAGCCTCTAGAGTAATATGTAGCAAATTCTGTGAATTTATAATTCTATAACTTTAAAAGTGTTTTAAAAAATCAGTTTTTCCTCTTCTTTTTTGCAGCATAGTAATTGCTATGGTAGTTTTTCTGAAGAGTGAACATTCTACCATACATAATGTTAATCATAGACATGAAATTCTGAAGAGATATTGGCATATGCCTAGATCAGGAATCAGGATGTAATATTAATATTAGTACTTGGGCTTCTTAATACTTTTCTTTTTAAAAAGCAAAGCTTTAAGCGAGGAAAAATTCTTATTCCAAGAAATGGATCTCTGGTGCAGGCTATACTTTATCCATTTATGTTACGAGGTTAATGTTAATAATGTGCTCAGCACTGTGGGTTCAAGATTACTAAAGTATCAGATTTAACAAACTTGATATTACATGGCCATAAATTTTCTCATAGTGACTTCCAGCCAAATTTATAAAAAGGACTTTCATAATCAAGACAAATATTTGATAAAAATGAATCAAAAATGTTATTTTAAAATGCCCTGGAAAGTAGAAGACATATTTATAGTTCAATAATGTATTTAGAAATACCAGCTTGTCAGAGTGATCAAAGCTATTTGAGAGAATTCCAGAAATATCAGATATATATTTGTATTGTCACATAAAACTTGTTTAACTCAAAGACATGTTGAACCACAGATTTTCAGAACAAAAGAATAAGTTGATGGATTGTGATGAGTATAGCATTGGAATATCCCACAAATGATAGTTATTTTTCCCAATATTTATCAGACATAGCATTTAATACAATACACATATAGCCCTTATTTCAAAATTAGTTGTAAATAATTTAAATTTCATCTGATTTTTTCCTGACATAATTGCAAAGTATTTAAAATGTGCATTTGGTTTTCAAAATGACAGTTTTTGTTCCTTTTAGTTAAGATACAATATAGGCAACTATTAGCTTAATTATAATCAAATTTTATTAACCTACCCACAACAAGACTTGATAATTTTTCAACGAACTGCTGAAATACCAAAGGAACTCTTAGAACTTCCAAAGTGCTTATTTTTTTCTGAATTGTTATGTCTAGCATGGCACTAAATTATTTGTATAGGTAAATTAATGTTTTATTATATTTTTTATAGGAAAAAACAAGCTTAGAATATCAATAAGAATGAGATAAAATTTTAAATATAAATATAAATTTAAACAATTGATAATTACAGAAGCTAAATTATTGGTACAGGAGGACTCATACTCTTCTCTCAGTGGTGTATACTGGAATTTTGTCTCATTAAAAATGTATATATTTGTTTGCATGTGTGTAAGTATGTGTGTGCACATATGTGTTTACAATGTTTAACAGTATTGATTGCAATGTTCCCCTAGATTAAAGGTATAGTTTCATGCCATGAAAGTAGCATTAAGTAAACAAAATTTTTCACATTATACATCAGAGGAAGCTAGAATACTTTGGCATCTGCCATATTTCACTAATTCCAAAAACCATTTTGATTTCAGAATCTATAATTGGAATTTTGTGAACTATTTGAAAAACATTATATATTATTTGAACTTAATTTTATATGTCTGGCCAAAAATTAATTTTTGCTAGTTGAAAATATGGGTATAAGCAGGCATACTCTTCTTAACTGACAGTGATTGAAATATTTCATGCATCTGGGTTTCAAATCTTATTTGAATTTATAGAACCTATGGTTTTAATTATTTGAAAACTGGATTGTGGCATAGCTTCTAGTTTATCATTTTTTGCTCCCTTACAGATAATGGAATTGTGCTGAAAGTAATCACAATTTACAACCAAGAAACAGAATCAATGGAAGAAGTAATTCTAGAAGAACTTCAGATATTCAAGGTATTTTAAATAAAAAATATAACCTAAAATTATGCATTATAGACAACTACAAGCTATGTAAATAGAAAAGGCATTGTGTCTTTTCCCCTAGTAGATGTGCTGTAGATTCAGAGCAAATTGAAGTGAGAAGTTATTCAAAATGTTGATGCGTCTATTTGATTGTTGTAGACTTTTCAGATAAAGAGGCTAATACTTAGCATGAAAAGAATTTTAATATATGAATTGTAACTATAGAAAAACAACACTTATGCCATGTATGAATTTCAGAATCATTATTACAAGGTCACATCTTGTGCAAATGTACTATTAACATTTACTGAAAAAACACATTTTCATATTGTGAACATTGTGGTATGATAAGCATACAGCTTTTTATCATAGCATATTAATTATATAAATAATTTACTGAAAAAGAGAAGCACTAGAAAATGGAAAGATTAGACAAAAATTGTATGTGCATATTTATATATAAGTATGTGTATAAATACATGCATATATAATATATACAGTCAAGTGACATTATCCATGACAGTTTTGGGGTTTAAAGGAACTGCAGACATTGAATTAGTAAATACTGACTATTGCTCCTGAGGAAATACACGGTTAGGTTCCTGCAAATTTCTGATTATAACATTTTTTGTTAACTGATCAATACATAACCTTGTTGTGTGTGTATGTTTAAAGACATCATATTTAGCATATAGTGTTAACATTGAACTCACAGCCAACTGCAATATAAACTCATACTTGAATGAAGCTTATCCTAAAGAAATTATTTTCGTCATCAAAGCACATCACAGCCTTTTTGAGTTTAGGAACACTAAACAGCAATTCAGCACTACACATGGGGGCCATTTTAAAAACCAAAACACCAATCAAAAGCACAGAAATGCAATAAGCATGGCACTAAATGGAAAGGACCCATGTTTGCACTATGAAAGCTGAAACAAGAAGGCAGATTATCACCTTCTTCCATGTCAGCTGAAAATGTGCATGTTTTCTGACTCAAATTTTTTGATGTTCTTAGCAAGTGTATGTCCATGAATAAAAATCACAAACAAGTATAGATATTTGGGTTACAAATTTTAGCTAGTAGACAAATTTGCAAATACAAAATCTACAAACAGCAAGGATTGGCTGTATATAAATGTAATGGTTATCTGTGAAAAGATTTTATGAATAAAAAGTAATGCATTTTGTCTGGGCTGTCATTGAGATCAGATTCCCCAGAGCCAAACCCAAAGCTGACTGCCCTCCTATATGTCAGAGCAGCTATGCTTTTGTTTATTTTGTACATTGGGGCTTTATGTAAGATTTCATTTCATGTTAGGGACGACAGAGCTCAAATTACCAGCACCCACCACCATGTTTTGTTCAAATAAAGCCTTAAGAAACATTGTTGCCCAAATAAATAAATGAATAAATGTATGCATGCATAAAGATGCTGTAGTTTGAAAATGTTTAAAAAATCCCACTGACAGAGGTTCAAAAGTTCTCTTTTAAAAAATAATTCTTCCATGGATAATCATCTCCAGAGTGGATTTCACCTGCCTTGTGTTTCTCCACTTGCAGAATTGATCCAAGTTTGTTGAGCTCCTTAGAGACATTCTAGTCTTAACATCTCAAAATAACACATGTGCTCTCAAAGCTATGCTATGTATTATCCTTTCTCTGTTGCAATTCTAGGAAAATCAGGTTATTCATCTTGTTCAAAGAATTCTGGATTCATAGTCATAGTCATGATCACTTAAACAGACAAATATTTTCTTTAGGCTTAGGTTAAAATGATTAAAGATCACCTGGTTTGTTAGCTATAACACCTATCTAAAGATATAACTATCTCACTTCTAATGGTTCAGTTACTTCATAAGAAAAAAATGTTTATTATTTTATTTGAAGATATTTGAGTTTCCAAAGCACAAATGATATTCAAGCAAATACAAAAATTATATTCCAGAGACAACAAGCAAGTTAGATTACCTACTGCTTCTCATCTACATATCTGTTGTATTTGAAAAAAATTTAAAGCTATATTTTAATCGTATTTGTATATTTACTATAAGGTCAATAGATATTCTTTTCCTTAAAAAGGAATTTTTTTTTTTAATTTCAGGATCCAGTTCCTATTATTTCTATGGAGATTTCTTCAAAGAGAGTAAGTTGTGTGTGTGTTCTACATGTGAATTAAGGTCAAAGAAAATAATATTAGTACATGTGCTTATATATGAAGTTAGTTTTTATTATTATAGTAAAAATGCTTAACATAAGAACTACCTACCCTTTTAACTCTTAAGTGTACAATACATTAGATCTGTACCTATAGTCAACAGTAAACAGCAGATATCTAGAGCTTATTCATCTTGTTTGAAACTTTATGCTCATTAATTGGTTCTGACACAATTTTATAGTGATTTGCATTTAATAGATATATCCATTCTCTTTGTCTATAGAAAGGAAGATAGGGGTAGTTTTATTTCCACAATCATGATAGCACATTGTTCCCTATTTTTCATGAATGTTTGTATAAAAATAATGGTAATAATGATAATCCAAGAGTGTGCTATGAAACATGTTTCTCTTTCACTTCACTGCAATCAATTTTGGATGTAAACTTCTCCAGAAACAATTGTTGCATGTATTGTCTCAACTTTATTTATGAATAGCATTTCGTATTTAGGCAGACAGAAACACATGATATTAAATATTCTGCAGCTTGTCTTTCACTTAACAGCATCTTAGTTTATTCCTTGTCATTCTATATGTATCTACGTCACTTTTCTAAATGTTATATGTCAATATTTAAAAGACCATTTACTTTCCCAATCTTGTTGTTTGATGTTCCTATAAATCTTTAGAGGAAGACCTATAGTGTTAGATAATGCAAGATAATGAATAAAAAAGAATACACATCTTGAGTTTTTAGCAAGTTCAGCCTAATAATCTTGGTACTCCTGCATTTAAGTCTACAAACATTTCAAATTTTGGAGAAATGAAAGTATCAATGTTCCATCATCTATCCTGAGGAACTACAGTAACTTAGGCACATATTTGCTTGAGGTGATTGTGTATAAATGTGAAAATCTAGGTGTTAGAGCTCAGTGAATGTTTTATTTCTGCTAGTGGCCTCTTTCTGATTTCTGCAGCAACAGCTGTATATTGGATCTGCTTCTGCCGTGGCTCAAGTCAGATTCCATCATTGTGACATGTATGGAACTGCTTGTGCTGACTGCTGTCTGGCTCGAGACCCTTACTGTGCCTGGGATGGCATATCCTGCTCCCGGTATTACCCAACAGGCACACATGCAAAAAGGTGAGATGTGATGCCTGATGGAATATTCCCATTGTTTTAAAAAGAACCCTTTCCATAAGAATAACCATACTATTTTTACTTAAATAAATCATAATAGTCATACTCATATTTTGTTCATATTATAAGCATTGAAAACTTGAATTGTGTCTGAAATACTTCCATCAGTTATTGTGTACGAAGACTGGAGCTGACCATGCTGTTGGGCTTTTATTTTTCCTCTCAGGTTTGAATCAACTTTTCCCTCTTTTGAAACTTTTGCTGCAAGACATGAAACGAGTTTAGATAAACTTGAAGTGTGGAAGTGGCAAGCCACCATACATAAGGGATTCAAAGACTTAAAAGGAAAATAAATAAATTCTAAAATACATCCTGCATTTGCCCCATGTCCTCTCTACCAGCTGGTCTTCATTTATTTCATTTTGAAAGTGAATATTTTAACTCCTAGGCAAATACATGACCTGTATAATTAATGAAATGTGTGATTTAATTCAACACAAATGAAAGGTACTTAAAAGACTTCCAAACTCCAATGTCTGCAATTCTGTAAGGTCATTGCCATTTCTTACAGAAGATAAAGCCCAGTATTCTTTAAATAGAGATCTTAAGGTACACAGAGCATTTTGAAGACTGAGGATATTTCTTCATTCGAGACATATGCAATTGTGCATATTTTAGGAAAATATATTAGGAAAAATATTTTTATTCCTTATAGATTAGTTTTTTTCTTGTGATGAAATGACCAAAGACAAAATAAAAGAAAACATAGAACTATATAAAATACCCCTACTGAAAAGGGGTTTGTATTAATTTCAATTATTCTTATTGCTTCGCTTCGGGTTATTTTTCTTTAAACCTTTTTCAGAATCTAGTTGAACCCAATTTAGTGTAGTTATTTTTATAGGTTCACATATATAGTAGAGTTTCATTAAAAACATCATTATTTCAAAACTTTTGTTAATTTTACCTGGGCTAAATTAACAATCCAGTGAGTATTTCAAGAAAAGACATAAGAAGCAAATAGTGGAAGGATGCTTTGAGTGGATATTTCTGAACTGAATTTGTTATACCAACTGTATGTAATAATTGAGCAAAGTAATTGATTTTGTACAAATGCTTGTTGATATTTAAAAACAATTCTTGAAAAACAGTCATATTTTAAAATAGTGATTTATTCACCTACTAAGACAATTACTGTACCATGTGCAAGGTTTATGAAGAAATAATAACCTTCATATACAGGAAATCAGAACCTACAGTGAAGAATATAATTGTAAATACAGTAGCTCATTATTGAGCACTTAGTATGCATAAAGTACTGGACTAAGTGCAATGCACATAATACTTTAATTCTCAAAATAATCCAACCTCCGAACTCATTCTCAAAAGTAGAGATATAAGGAAATTCCAGTTAAGAGCAATTGTCTGTGCAAAGGCATAGAATACTTAGGAAAAACAAAAAAAGTTTGCAACTTTGCACCAAATGCTTATGAAAAACAAAGTTTTTTTTTTTTTTTTTATTAGGCATGGAGTAGTGATGAATTTTAACTGAGCTGTCTCCATAGCTAAGTATTTTTTGGTATATGGTACATCTTTTAAGAGTGTGCAACCATAACCTTGATAATATGTTTAAAAGAAGTGAACATAAAGAATTACTTAGGAAAAGTTAAGTAGGCAAAATAGTAGAAAGGAAGACTTGAAATGCCGGAGTCAGAAGCCATGTTCTATTAATGAATGAGCTCAGTTCAGTGACATGTAATGGAGATCTTTCAGTGGTGTAGAATTCTTTTGAACCATCACTCATAGCTGGAGAACTTTTTGGATAATTTCCAACACATGAAGGGAAAGTAGTTTGCTTTTATAGCAGATCGTTTTTGCTTCAGACTTGAATAGAAGCAGAAACTGAAAACTGGTCATTAAAATAAATACTTTTCCATTCATGGAGTGACAATGAGTCAACAGGGGAAAAACATTAATTCACAATCCAAACTACTCGTGTAAAATGGTCATCCAAAATACAATTTATAAAGCTAGATCTTTTTTCCCCCCTTCCTTGCTCTTGTATTTTGTCTATTTTCAGTGTTCTCTTAAAAAGTTTCTAAGAGGCTAGAGGTATAAGAAAAATATACAACTTTGAGAATGAAAGTCAATTTTGCTCAACTTCTCAAACTCTTGATCCTAAAATATACATATTTTAGATGCTGAAATAAAGGGTAAGTATATGGGGGTGAAAATGAACTGAAACGTTTCTGGATTTTATTTTTAAATGCATGTTTCCAATAATTTTCAATAATTTTTTGCACTCAATTTATTCACATTACTTATCTAGAATTTATTTGATTTCAGGTCCCTTCATTCTCACATCACTTATGTAATAATCTTGATGTAACACCATCTCAGCAAATTGAAAACCATTTCTCATTTCATTGATTTTACCCCTGTACATTATTCATTATTGGTAGGCTGGCTTTAGATTCATAGTACTCAAGCAGCTTTCAACAAAGTGAGGAATTAACACAGTTTAATTCTAACCTAGATCTGCTATCAGTTGAATAGCTATAAATGCTATTATAAAATACAAAATCATTAAGCTTTTGCTTGCTACTTTTTTCATAAATTCTGTTTTTAATATAGTTTAATAGAATGATCCATGTGGCAATTTTAACTTTGTAAAATCCCTGGTCTTTAGGTAAGATTTTCTAATCAGCAATCTCACATTAAATAAATAAAAAAAAACAACTAAAACGTACTTTGTACATAGTTCAATCCTAAAAATTGATTGAAAAAGTTCATCTGCCTAGCTTAGATATCTATTAAGTGGTTAAATAAGATCTGAACTTCTAATGTGATAAAGTACTTCATCTCTTGTGATAACATTTCATTATTTAGAGAGTGAGGAAACCCTAGAATGAAAAGGAAAAAAAAATGAGTCTGGAATAGATTTTTAGGTGTCATTTATCCAACTTGATTTTACAAAGGAGGACATAAAGAGCCAGAAAAGGGAAGAAATATGCATGAAATTATACAAAAAGTTAGTGGTGGCATTAGGATTTGAATCTGGTTCACTTTTCCAAATTTTATCATTGCATATGGTTAAAGCATCTCATTGTCACTTTGGAAGCTGCACCATCACCCTCTAGGGTAAAACTTCTGCTTTGCCTTCTGTTTTTCCTTCAATCTTGAAGAAATGCCATGATTCAGAGAAGCAAGTGGTATTTTCCACCTTTACGTAATACTTCTATTTTTATTTCTAAAGTATGCTAGAGATCTTGATTTTAGAATTCTAGTACTAATAATGATAATTCCCCTTGTTTAATTTCTCAGAAATGTGCACACAAATGTAAAACATGATATATTTGGAAATCTTTTTCATAGCTATATAACTAAAATACAATAGTATATAATTATTAAATATAAAAATATAACTGAAATGTTCCTAATTATAATAGGCAAATTGAAGGAAAAAAACCTAGTATTTCTTGTGTCCCCCTAATGCACAAAATCCTGTTAAACATGTATAACGCACCGTCACATTGAAAAGAGGCATATACTTTCTAAATGTTACATCTAAAGAGTAAGCCGAGTACAGTATATAATTTGTCTTCTTATTAGCAACTATATTTGTATTAATTGATTCTTATGCCATAGAAAAAAAATATTTGATTCAAATATTCTTTCATGTGTACCTAAGTTTTATGGTCAAATATTTCACACACAATATTCTACCCTCAAATCCCATTGTCTTTATCTGTGCACGTTCCTTACCACCCAAGACATTCAGTCCGAACCAGAAGACTTCTTGAACTACATTTTAGATAAAATATAAAGAGACATTTATTGAACTGTTGCTTGGGGATCCAGAATTCAAAATTATGTAAACATTTAAAAAATGGTGTTATATAGATCTTGACTATTAAAGAACATTCAATGGAAATATGAAAAACTATGAAACTTAGATTAATCCTTGTTTCACATAACTGATCAATTATTTTTTAGGAGCAGACTACTACTTGAATCTCTAATGCAGTTGGCTATATTTTACAGTCTGGAAAATTGAAACACGAACATCTCCTAAATGCATTTACTTTCTTTCAGGCGGTTTCGCAGACAAGATGTTCGGCATGGAAATGCAGCTCAGCAATGCTTTGGACAGCAGTTTATTGGTAATCCATATAAAATCAATTGTGTGTTACTTAGAATGTACATTAATGACAAACTGCAAGCTTTTTAAAAAGAGTCCTTTTCTTTGTGATTTATGTATACTAGAATAAAGTAAATGAAAGTATTCTCTTTTCCTTCCATGTAGTTAAAATTTTATGCATTTGACAGGTAATTTTTATATAATTAAGAAAATAAGTTTTATATACCACCATCCACGCTTTAATATTAGACCTCAAACCAAAGGAATCCTAGAATAAGAATGCTGCCTCCTTTAAGTAGTTAATGCCATGACTTATAGGATTTATCTTTTTATATCATACCTGGGAATATCTTCACCATGTTATATAACTTATGCTGATTTTATCAAATGATATAACTTGAATCAAGTCACCTACTAAGCTTTGGCATAGAATAAAGTAAAAAACTTTTACTTTTTTACTGAAGTTGGATAAGCCTAATGCTGGGGTTGGTGATGTAGCATGAATGCTAGGTGGTCTGATGGTCAAAGGATGAGAGGAAATTTCAGATTTAGGCAAATGTAAGGAGGTTAAGACAGAAAAACACTCTCCTGGCTCTTCACATGATGGTGGTTGATAAACAGGCCTTGTTTAGCAGCAGTGGGTTCACCAGGAAGTGCCAAAAGGAGGGGGTATGATAATTGAGTGACCAGCGGTGGTTATACACACATCCGGAGGTTGTGGTCCAGCATCAGTTTGCTAGACCCCAGGCTGACTCAGGATTCAGTGCAGGACTCAAGCATCTGGGAATACTGACAAGAGAAGGCAGGGGACCTTAATCTTAGGGAAATTTAGGGTTCAGTTTTAAAGGTAAAAAGGATTCAGGCATAGGAAAAATATCCTGGGATTCCAGTTACTGAATTTTTCTTAGTTAAAATAAAAATAATTCAATTTGCTTTTATTCCAACTACAGCTAAGTATACTTGCCTGTATGAAAATTTGAGTTCAAGTCCAACGAGAGACTTTCTGGTCCAAGATATAGATTCTAATCAATATGTTCTATTTCACAAAGTCATTAGTTCAGTTTCATACTGTCTTCTTACTGCAGAAGCCCAACACCCAGATAGGTGCAATCCTTGGTCAATATTTCATCCACACTTATGTTTATGTAGTGCCATTTTGCCTAGATTTTCAATTTTTGCTTTTGTTTGTAATGATTAATTTGGTCCTTGCCTTACTTAAATGTCTGGTGCTCACCTTCTCTTCTCTGCTTTACCTATAGCTGTTGCCATTGATTTATCCATGAGTTTAAGATTGCTGCTTCTTTCCATCCCATCTTGTCCTTTGGAGCCAGACTCAGGCCCCATAGCCTGCTTACCTTTTTAATGCCTAGATTTTGGTATGCTGCTCTCTCTAAATAACTTCTTCAAATGACCCTGCATAGAAATTAGCAAAAAAATAATGAGTTTTTACACAGATCTAAGTAACATTTTAAGAATTATTTACCAGTAAAATCAAAGTCTCAAGGCTGATAACGTTCCTGTTGTAGGGGATGCTTTGGATAAGACCGAAGAGCGACTGGCTTATGGCATAGAGAACAACAGTACTTTGCTGGAATGCACCCCACGATCTTTACAAGCAAAAGTCATCTGGTTTGTACAGAAAGGACGTGACACAAGAAAAGAGGAGGTAATTCACAGCTGCAGGTTCATACCATGGTGTCTTGTAATAATGTGTGATCAGTAAATAGATGATTTACTTGGGTGCTTAAAATGAAATGTATTATACATATCTTATTTTAAATGTCTATTATATGTGATTTGTATACATATACAAATTTAAATACATATATAGATTTTTACATACAAATAAAAATTGTATACACATATATAAATCAATGATTTAGATCCCTGAAATTGAATTTTTGTAAGGAGGTATTTATAGTGTCATGATTTTCATGTCATGTTATCAAAATGATTGTCTCAATTGATACAATTTAAGACTATGTTTAGGGAAATACAAACATAATAACCATTAACACATATATCTTGGACATGTGAATAATATTATTAAAATAGCAGCCACTGCAACATTAAACTGGTCATATGACAAAGCTCTTAAATCATATATGACACATTGACACAAGGGTTCCTGTCCAGTGGGAACAAAGGAAATGCATCAGCTCCTTCATCCTTTTAAGCAAATTTGGATTTGCTTACAGATTATAATTCTATAATCACCTAAATCTGCAGTTCCCAGCCTCTGGGTGCAGACCAGTACTGGTCTGTGGCCTATTAGGAACTGGGCCATGCAGCAGGAGGTGAGTAGTGGTCAGATGAACAAAGCTTCATCTGTATTTACAGCTGCTTCCCATCACTTGCCATCTCCTCCAACCCCACCCCATACATGGAAAACTTGTCTTCCATTAAACTGGTCCCTGGTACCAAAAAGGTTTGGGACTGCCGACCTAAATGATGGCAGAAGAATGACTTGGTGGCTTTTATAGAGATGGAAGGATGGGCAGCATTGAAAGCACATGTATAGAGTAGTCTGGAGGAAGTTACTGGATAAAAATACAAGTGAAAGGAGCTGGCTGGATTCAGGGAGCAGGCTGGAGCTGAAAGCAATTAGGGAAAGCAGATCATTGATGGTGATGTGGGCTTTGAACAAATTTTTCACAAAAGTGGTGTTATAAAAGATAGCAAGTAGAAAAATAAATGGATATGTTAGAGGGAGCTAGATCTTGGTGAATGTTGGAGACATGGTTGGTGGTAATGAGAAAATTGCAAGTTGAATAAGGAAAATTTTTCAAGACCTGCCTTAGGTCACAAGGAAGAGCCAGTAGGTGCACACTGGATAGCAAGTGAATCAGTGGAAGTTTTCACCTCATTTTGGCACTGACAAACTAAACATTAGTCACTGGAACCCAGGATTACTGATTCCAAATTTGGAGCACTTTGAATTTTTATGCCTTTTTTCTCTAGTCTATGGTAAAACTAAAAACCCAACATGTTGTTGGTCCAAATTCAAACAGTACATTCTGGAAGGTTATTAAATTTATAAAATTAAATTTATTCCCAGTTCTTGGAGTAGTCTTAAGAAAGATCCCTCAACTTAACAAGGGCTATTAGAAATAATATAAAAATGCAATCAAGGTGGGAAAATTCTCCTAAATTTTCATGACATCATAATAAACACATGTCATAAAAAGTTATAGCATATTGCACTAAGTTGTTGATTTAATATTAAAGTATTTTCCATTTCACAAATCTGAGGTGAAGTAGCTTTTTTAATTTTACCATAACTCACTTGGCAGGAAGGGACTTGCCAAGTATTCCATAGTTTTTCCAAGTCGAACAGTTTCAGAAGACAGAATTCTTTTATCAGTGGTTTTCCTCATTCAATATGTTCTGTTTCTAATTTGAAACTCAACATAATCTACCTTATTTGGAAATCTTTACCAAACCATTTTGACATGCTGTATCCATCAATGTTCAATTATAAGGTTCTTTTTCATATAGTTGGTATAATCTACTTTTCCTTTCTCATAATTTTTAGTTCCTCTTTGCTACATTCAAATTTCCATGACTAATATGTTTATTGATATATGAAATTTAGAATTTACTTGCTACATTAAAAATATCATAATCAAATACATGGCTTTTATAGGCTTACCAATATATGTATTGATTCATTCATAATCTTAAACAGGACCAAACACAAAATTGCTGACTTCATTAACACATTGACTGCCACACTAGAAAAAATTTTTCCTTGGGGCCATGATGTTATATCATGAAAACAGAATAAAAGCTTCAAAACCAAAATAATCCTTTCTAATAAAAAATTATTTTTTGTTGTTTTGAGTTATACGCAACCTGAAAAATAGCTCTCACAGCTCCCAAGGTGAGAAGACATGTGAGTTGCGTATCCTTCACTAGTTAAATTCAACGCCCAGCAGTTAATGTGTTAAAGGCTTATTGTCTATGATATATACATAAAGCAGAATGATTTTGCATGTAAGTCTTGAATTTTGAAGAACATTTTTTCATTCATTGCAATTTATATATCTCATTAAGAAACATATAAGATAATACCTTTATTATCAAACTGAGATCATTGTAAAGGATAAAGTTCACCTACTCTAATTCTTACTTCCTATGGGGATGCTTTATAGACTATGCCTGTGACAATGGCCATCAAGGCTTGTCACACTTGTTACAAACCATGAGAAGTCATTAATTTGTCAGACCACAAAGTATATGCATCTTCCTTTTAGTGAACTGAAATTTTTGACTCTGAAATATCTGTCCATTCAAATCCAAACTCAGTCTTCTGGAGTTATCCAGAAATGACATATTCATGTGAATAAAATTTTTGCTCCGATTATCTTTAGAAGCTCTGCATGCCTCAGTTGGTAGAAAGCATCTAGAAACTCAATTATCTAGTTTCTAAACTCTGGATTACAGTAATTCTCTTTAATGTGCATTCTCTTTATAGTCTCCTACTTCTTTAAAAAACAACAATTGGAGCACAGTCTCTATACATTTTATTAATTCAATAAGTTTATTGAAAGCCTACTTTTCTAGGTACTTTATAAGAACATTTTTTGTTGGCTTGATGAGCTGGCTACTTTTGAAGTTATAGTTACTTGCCATGAATATATTAGATATAAGTTAAATATAACTATATTAGATGCTATAAATATCAGTTATTGTGATGTCCTGAGAGAAAATTACTAGAACTTAATAGATAAGTCTATTCTTTAATGTGTACTTATTACACCAAGAACTCAGTAGGTGCCTTGTTATTTCTATATCTCACCTCTGCATATTATACAAAATTGTCATCATACACATGCAGAAACCAAACCTCAGAGAGTGAGCTTGTACACAAAGTCAGTGACAGACCCAGGGTCTGAAACTCAGGTATTTCTGACTCCAAAGCTGTGCTGCCTCATTCACTGTCCAAGTACCAAGGACTGTACTATATGCATTTTATAGAATATACTATTTTATTCTAAAAATGTGGTTTATGAATGAGGTAATTGAGACATTGTGTTTAATAATTCTCCTGGTTACTCACAGCTAATAAAGTAGTATCAGATCCAGATCTACGCAATTTCTACTAAACCATAAAATCTTCTGAAATCAGAATTCTAAATACAGTTTCAGAGGCTTTGGGATGTGGAGAAAATGAAAAACTTCATAGAATTTCTGTAGCAATTTCTGAAAAATGCTCTTAATATCAGGTGATCCTTATATAAATTTTTCTTTGTCAGAGTTGAGTGGAACTTGCTGCTGCAGCCTTGACGAACAAGGCACTACTCATGTTTAGATGTCTGAGAACCTGCCCATAATTTGAACAGCTCCCTCTCTAAGCCCTGATAACCATGAACCATTATTATACAATGTATCTATCAGTGTATAGTCATTCTCAAAATAGCTCTTTCAAATTTCTGCTATATGCTTATTGGTAGAAGATGACTTCTTTATCAAATTAAGAGCATTTCATTTTAATCTATGTAGATATAAAACTCAGGGTACTCTACCCCATTTTTTAACTAAAAGAATATTTTATTCATTTATTTGAAACTTTTTATTGAGCATCTACTATGATCTGCTTTATAGAACTTATATTCTAGAGAACAGAGAAAAATAATAATGTTTAAATAAAACCAATATTTAAGATGTCAGGTAATAAGATAAAAATATAAGGAAGTTTATAGGGAGAGGTTGGAATTTTAAAGGGTGGTCACAGAAGTTCTCACTAAGGAGGTTGCCAAGTAAGTGTCATTTGAAAAGAGATCTGAAGAAAGTGAAGACTAGGTCATGTGACAATATGAGAGAACTTTCTGGACATCGGGAACAGCAAATGCAAAGGCATTTGAGGTAGGAGTACACTGGATATATTCAAAAAACATCAGAGTAGAAGGCAGTGTGGCTGCTGGGGCATGAGCAAAAGAGAGACTAATAGACTGAGTCGGTGAGATGAGATAAAAGGTCAGCTCATGCAGGAACTTATAGGCTGTTATGTAGGGTTTTGTGTTTGCACTGAATAAGAAGCCATTAAGCGCTTTTCAGCAGATATATGATAAGATCGGTATTTTTAAAAATCACTTAGGTTATTGTACTAATATAATATGTGGAATGGAGATAAGGATGGAATATTAAAAGAACACAGTATTAAAATATAAATCTTTATGTTCAAAGACACAACATCAACTCTTAATGTGATCTGTGCCTTCAAGGCTAGATGATGCATAAGTGATTGCCCTCATATATGTAGTAGCAATGTGCTTTGCTATACTTTTCAGCATTACTGAGAAATAGGAAGGCTGCTTGACATCTCAGATGGGATACTTTTGGGACCTATTCTATTCCCTTTGTGTAAATGACTGCAAGTGATGTTTTGAACTCAATAGATATTCTCTCAGAGCCTAACTTAACAGTTGATAAATAATCATAGTTCTAGCTTTTGTGAAGCTTATGGTCTTTTATGAAGACAGAAATGCAAACACAGAATCATAATATGTGTTCCTTAAAAGTTATATTGAAAGCAAGGGAAAATAAAATGGTCTCAACTAAGAGATTGGGTAAGCAGGTGGCATGATGAATAATCACGAAATGATTCGTGGCAGAGACGATATTTGAGCCACATCTTCAAGGATGAACAAAAAGTAATTATCA